AGTTCAAGACAGAGATCGAGATGCTTTCTCAGTTCAGGCACAGGCATTTGGTTTCTTTGATCGGGTATTGCGATGAGAACAGCGAGATGATCATTGTCTATGAGTATATGGAGAAAGGAACGCTCAAGAACCATCTGTATGACTCTGATAACCCGAGACTGAGCTGGAGACAGAGGCTTGAGATATGCGTCGGTGCAGCTAGAGGGCTTCACTATCTCCACACAGGCTCCACGAGAGCGGTCATACACCGCGATGTGAAATCCGCTAACATTCTCTTGGATGAGAACTTCATGGCCAAAGTCGCAGACTTTGGATTGTCTAAGACTGGTCCTGATCTCGACCAGACACATGTGAGCACCGCCGTGAAAGGAAGCTTTGGTTATCTTGATCCAGAGTATCTAACCAGACAACAGTTGACTGAGAAATCCGATGTTTACTCTTTTGGTGTGGTGATGCTTGAAGTACTATGCGGGAGACCAGTCATTGATCCGTCTCTTCCGAGAGAGGAAGTGAACTTGATCGAGTGGGCGATGAAACTGGTGAAGAAAGGGAAGCTGGAAGAGATCATAGACCCTTTTCTTGCAGGGAAAGTGAATCTTGAAGAGATGAAGAAGTACTGCGAGATAACAGAGAAGTGTTTGGCCCAAAACGGAACTGAGAGGCCAACAATGGGAGATCTGTTGTGGAACCTAGAGTTCATGCTTCAGGCTCAAGCGAAAGACGAGAAAGCAGCAATGGTGGATGATAAGTCAGAGGCGAGCGTGGTGGGGTCAACGGTGCAGTTCAGTGTGAATGGCATGGGAGATATTGCAGGAGTCTCAATGAGCAAAGTTTTCGCGCAAATGGTGGAGAGAGAAGAGACGCGATAAAAGATTGATGAAGAGTATTCTTAGTTCCAATGTCTTGTTTGTACAGGAGGGAGAAGGAGAGAACACAGTACTGTTTTATACACATTATTGTAGGAAATTCAAGTGTGTTTGGATACACTGAAAAAAAAACCTAAACAGATTGTTATACGTTCTATGTATTAATTTGCATTCATCATGTTTCTGCTCTTTGGTGTTTTGTTAAAAGTGGTTTTTAAATTCACTACATTGAAGTATAGCTGCAGTGTCGTTGTTCTTTCAATGATTCAGAGGAGCGTGAGTAATTCTAGTCAACAGGGCCCATGATGAAAGCATGGCCCAAATTAGTTGGAAGGAGAGGTTTTGAGGGTCAGTCTAATGAATGATACAACCGAACCGAGCTCTGACTAATAAATGGTCGTGCGAGATTTAGCATCAATCGAACAACAAATCAGTTAATTTATATAAAGTGTGACTCTGTATATAAAAATATTAATAGTACAGAGACAAAAAAAAGCGTACATATTCGATTTGTGTTTTGACTGATTGTTGTTTGATGTTTCATAAGAACTGCGTTTCATAACGAGATTTGCGGATAAATTGTATTTCATGAATTTAGAATGAGTTTAGCCATTTAAAAAAAATGAATTTAGAATGAGTTAAACGCTGAAAATACATAAAAACATTAGTATGAAATTTTCTCAAATATTGTAAACTAGCTAGTGGTTGTAACAAAAGAGAGATAGATATTAGTCGTGAAACACACCTTTTTTTTTTATAAATTCACGTTACCCCTTTTGGGGAAAGACAAAAAGATAAATAAACGAAGTATTCAGAGAAAAGGAATCATTTTTTTATAACTTATAAAAAGTTTTTTTTTTTAAAAAAAGACAGAGTTCCAAAACAATATAAAGTCGGCTACGCTGTTTTGTTAAAATAGTAATGAATCTTCCCTTTGATCGTGGCGGCATGAAGGGGGGGAAATACAGTTAGAAGTTAGTAGTCAAAAGTCAACAAAAAAGTTAATTACCGAAAAGTCAAATGAGATTGGAAAGGTAAAGCTTTCCCATTCATATTTAATGCTTACACATGTTATCACCAGCACCGCCTAGGACCGGAACTTTTAAGAAGGTGGGATTATGATAGTGAGTTACAGATGAAAATGCATATTTAAATCAATACTATGCGATTTGAGAAAAATTGATAGGAGAAAATGAATAAGAGATTTCCATAGGCCAGTAGTGAAGAAGTGATATTTTAAACCGGTAGAATTACAAAAAAAAAAAATTAAAGGATATCTCAAACCAAAAATGACTGTAGCGCAAAAAGTGATTAAATCGATTATCTATAGTTTACTATCCATATAATTGACTAATACGTAATTTCCATGAATGATGTGGTAGTGGAGTTTGTGATTAGTATGTGGATGTTGTCAAAAAGAAAACAGTAGTATGTGTACTTTTAACCTATAGATCAATCGCCCAAAAATATTAAATTGAAAAATTCCGTTATTTCCCAAAAACTTGTGTTGGGTGACGTTGATTTGTGGTGCCCTAATGAGTAATGACTATATAAAGATACTACTGATTGTTATATCAATAGTATATCTTAATAATACGTATGTAACAATTAAAAATGGATATTCACAATACAATCAACTAACCAGGCGCTTTAAATTTTTTCTTTTGGATAAAACGTGACCTATTATAAAAAAAAAAAAAAAAGAACGTTAGGCTTAGCTAAGGGTCTTTCTTGGGTGCGAACAAATAAAAATCATTGATGAAACTATGAATCCATTTCGCGAATATTCACCCACATATATATGTCTTCGATAGTAGTTTTTCTTTGGGTTATGGACAGGTTATGTTATTCCATAGAACGGACAGATGATATCATATGGGTGAGAATTGATAACAGAAGGTGATGGGCCACTGATATCGAAGAGTCACGCTCACGCATTCAAACTCGAATTCATATGATCTTCTCAAAATTCCGTCGTGCATGCATGAACATTCGAGTATAAATTTGATAAGACCGTTCCTTATAGTAATATCTTCATATATATATATATATATATATATATATTACCTAACTGGTGACATATTTATTTGACTTGAATCACATGCATAGCAATAAATATGAAGTCATCCTATTGATCTATATAAGAAGTCTATATTATTAGCTAACATATATAAAAGCATAGTGACCAATAAAATTCGAATAAATGAGTTGACATACCAGTAGAATACGGTAGATTTTGTAAGGTCGAGTTCTCATTCTACTATAAATTGAGAAAATGATAGCATTCCATAAATATGAAGTCATCTTTTTATATAACTGTTGAACCATTTAGGGTTGGAATCCCCAATACTCTCGCTAGAAAACTGGATTTCTATGTCATTGAAGAGTATACATTAACATTAACGTAACTAACTAGTTCGTTCGGCAGGAGGTTGCAATAAGTGATAACTATAATATTGTTATGCTTGCAATTGCCTATCACCATATATATATGTGCACACATACGTTATGTTAACATGCGTCATGATGACTCATGCGTGTCCTGTGTCCACATTTATAAGGAAAAAAAAAAGTAGAAAAATTAAATACTCCATATGATATACTACTATAAGTTTTCGGGTGGCTTATTAGGCTACGACGTATAACTTTTTGAATAAAGCATTGTCTTTGTGTTTTAACTATCAGACATGTAAATCAACTAGTGTATTAGCTACCCACTCCAAAGATATAGTGTTAAAAATCACGAATTCGAATTTAACAAGGGCATCTAATTTAACATGTAATTTGGATGCCCAATTATATTCTAGTCTCTCATACAAAAAAAGACTTGAGCCGTACCTTTTAATTTACTTAACGTTGAAGAGAGACAGCTCTTATGTAGTAATGTCCATGGACCATAATAAAGACTTGACTTGATCGAACGTTGCATGTGCGGTTGAAGATTTTTCCGGCATGTTGTTAGGCTTTTAATTAAGTTCGGCAAGTACTGAAGTAGCTAAGCTATCTATTATAGATTAAGTTTTCGTTTTTAGTGGACCGACTTTGAAATAGACCAATATAAAACATCAGTCTACATGCCTAGACCCTTGTATATAGTATATACTTATCTATTTCACACGCACTATCCATTCACACAAGTGGGCATCAATTTTGCATGACTTTTGTTTGGATATTATTTTCGCTTTTTAACTACCTCATCAATCATCTATTTCAAGCTATGGCTACCATATTAAAAACTTAGTCATTTCCAACTTTAAAAATTTGCTTTTACCTAACGCAATTTTTTTGTCAACTACCTAAACCGCGATTAAGAATACTATTTTACAAAAAAAAGGACCTTATGGTGTTTATATCAGTAATGATGTACCCCTTTTGTAAAGTCCTTTTTTTTCTTATAGTAGTATTTTTCTTATGATCACTACATAATTTGAAATTTTGAACATTCACAAAAAATTTGAAAAACAAGAGCATTAATTGGGCCAAGTATGGGAAACACACACACGAAAGTCCTCGTCCCATGCCTATGTTAGATCAACAAACACCCTTTACCTATAATTGGCTAATTTCCAAGTCAATTAAAACCCATATCGCCACGTGTCCTGTGCCGACCGATTTTATTTACTCGTTACACCCCCCAGAAAAGAAACAAACGTATTTAGTAGTATTTCGGTATTTCCACTTTTGGGAAACTTAGATTTCATAGGTTGATTCTTCACCTTCCCCTAATAAAAAAACAATAAATCGAAAATGCATTTACATCCATACAGTCAAAATATAAAACCTAACACACCTTTCCCATGCAACTCACAAAGACTTTTATTTATAACATTTCTCACATCAAGCCTTCGTGTCTTCAGTCTTCTTCACACATACACAAACGCCTCTTGATACCCTCTCGCTTCTATATAAGTATTTAGTAAGATACAAAGAAAGAGAGATACATACATCCTCAAGAAAAAATCTCACTGACTAAGAAAAAACACTTTTAGATCTTCTTCTTTCTTCGTTTTTCTTCTAGAGAGCTTATCCCAAAGTCGTTAAAAAAGTTTCGTGTAGCTCAAGGGAAAAGTCAATGAGTGTGTTTTAAGGTCTTAAATTTGTTACTCTGAAAAGTGTTTGTCTTTTTCTGCAACAATGGCTCGTATTGTAGCAGCTGATGATGATGATACGCCGCAGTTTTACTCCATGGAACTCAACTCCATCTCGTCCGCTTCCGATTCCACTTTAGGGCAACTTCTGAAGAACGTCAGTGACGTCAGGAAAGTAGCCGTTGGGGACGAGACTCCAGTTCACGAAGCCTTGAACCGGGATTACGAAGATGATCTCATGCGTACTGTTCCATTCGTTCTCTCTTTCGACAGTCTCACTTACAGTGTCTCTGTTCGACCGAAGCTAGACTTTCGCAATCTCATCCCACGGCGTAAAACAGAGGATCCGGAGATTGCTCAAGTCGGAAGGCCGAATACTAAAACCCTTCTCAATAACATCTCCGGCGAGACTCGAGATGGAGAGATCATGGCCGTTCTTGGAGCTAGCGGCTCCGGTAAATCAACTCTGATCGACGCATTGGCGAATCGGATTGCTAAAGGAAGCTTGAAAGGAACGGTGAAGCTAAACGGAGAAACTCTTCAGTCTCGGATGCTCAAAGTTATATCGGCTTACGTGATGCAAGACGATCTTCTCTTTCCTATGCTCACCGTCGAAGAAACACTGATGTTCGCTGCCGAGTTTCGTCTCCCGAGGAGTTTACCTAAATCTAAGAAGAAGCTTCGTGTGCAAGCTTTGATTGATCAACTAGGAATCAGGAACGCCGCTACAACGATTATCGGAGACGAAGGCCACCGTGGAATCTCCGGTGGCGAAAGAAGGCGTGTCTCGATCGGAATCGATATAATCCACGACCCGATTCTCCTCTTCCTCGATGAACCTACGTCTGGTTTGGACTCGACGAGTGCGTTCATGGTCGTTAAAGTGTTGAAGAGAATTGCGCAGAGTGGCAGTATCGTAATTATGTCGATTCACCAGCCGAGTCACAGAGTCCTCGGTTTGCTTGACCGGTTAATCTTCTTGTCTCGCGGCCACACCGTCTACAGCGGATCTCCGGCGAGTCTTCCGCGTTTCTTCGCCGAGTTCGGCAATCCGATTCCGGAGAACGAGAACAGAACAGAATTCGCCCTCGATCTCATCCGTGAGCTTGAAGGATCCGCCGAAGGAACAAGAGGTTTAGTCGAATTCAACAAAAAATGGCAAGAGATGAAGAAACAGAACAACCGTCAACCACCACTGACTCCACCTGCATCACCGTACCCAAATCTAACCTTAAAGGAAGCAATCTCCGCCAGTATAAGCAGAGGTAAGCTAGTATCCGGCGGAGAATCCGCCGCTATCCAACACGGCGGAGGAAACACATCCACGGCCCTAGCCGTCCCTGCATTCGCAAACCCAATCTGGATCGAAATCAAAACGCTCACAAAACGCTCAATGCTCAACTCTCGCAGACAACCAGAGCTTTTAGGAATCCGACTCGCCGCCGTGGTTATCACCGGATTCATCTTAGCCACCGTTTTCTGGCGATTAGACAATTCCCCAAAAGGCGTCCAAGAGCGGCTAGGGTTCTTCGCATTCGCGATGTCAACAATGTTCTACACTTGTGCAGAAACACTACCAGTTTTCCTCCAGGAACGTTACATATTCATGAGAGAAACAGCTTACAATGCTTACCGGAGATCCTCCTACGTTCTCTCTCACGCCATCGTCTCCATCCCGGCGCTCATCTTCCTCTCCGTAGCTTTTGCAGCGACCACATATTGGGCCGTGGGGTTAGACGGAGGCCCAATGGGCCTATTGTTCTACTGTTTGATCATTTTAGCCTCATTTTGGTCAGGAAGCTCTTTCGTCACGTTTCTATCCGGAGTAGTCCCACATGTGATGTTGGGCTACACAATCGTCGTCGCCATTTTAGCTTATTTCTTGCTGTTCAGTGGATTCTTCATCAACAGAAACCGAATCCCAGATTACTGGATTTGGTTTCATTACATGTCTTTGGTGAAATATCCGTACGAAGCCGTTTTACAGAACGAGTTCTCTGATGCGACCAAGTGTTTCGTGAGAGGTGTTCAGATTTTCGACAACACGCCATTAGGAGAATTACCAGAAGTCATGAAGCTGAGGCTGCTCGATACGGTGAGCCGGTCACTAGGGACGACGATATCGAGCTCTACGTGTTTGGCCACTGGTGCGGATATTCTAAGGCAACAAGGTGTGACTCAGCTGAGCAAATGGAATTGTTTGCTTGTCACGGTAGCTTTTGGGTTCTTTTTTAGGGTTTTGTTTTACTTCTCTTTGTTGCTTGGAAGCAAGAATAAGAGGAGTTGAAAAAGAGCACCAAGGGAAAACTACTGCTAAAGGACCGCAAATCAAAACATACTTGTAGTTTTTGTTTGTAATTCCTTTTCTTTTTTTAAACGAGATTATGTTGGAGAAGCTTGAATCGTTTAAATGTAAAATGCGTTTTTTTTTTCATATATGTATACAAAAAGTGTTACATAAATTCCCTTTCTTTTATTTATAATCTTCTGTACTGCTGATTATGTGAACTCCTTTTAATATATTTACAATCGAATTTGCCGGTGAATTTTTCTATCAAAGTCTTTAGAAAGAATAAGGATATATATTTTTTTATATTTACAAAAACGAATTATAAACACACTTGTTAGTTGTTACTGTTCTCTTCTTCTAATTATAGTGTATAGTGTCTATACCCCAATCAGTTAAATTATAATTTGATATTTAACTATAAATTTAAATTAGTTAATTAATTTTAAAAACAATTTTGATTCGTATAAGAAATTCACACATTTTCTTATTTTCTGATATCATCATATATCGAAGACTTCCACAGCACACAATCGATAATCCATAACACAAGTCAACGCTAATTGTAACCTAGAACTTTAATATTGCGATTAACTTTATGGACTGACATAAAAACTTTCAATGTGTTTATTTTTTTTTTCTTACACTTATCCTATAATTATTCCTCTTTATAAGATCCACTCCTCATTTTACTATAATTTTCGCTTGACAATGAAGACGAACCGTGCTTAAATAATTTGACGTACCAATAGAAAACGTACCGTCCTCTCTTGATTTGGGAACGGTATATAATTACTAGTTGAAAACACAGATATATGGTCTTTAACATAGCATTTCGCATTTATCAAAAGAAACAAAAAACAAAGACATACCATTTCGTGTTATCAACAGTACATCAAATTCCGAAAAGATCGACCAATTAAACATGGCACACCACTCAGTAGTTCGCCAGGAGGTTGCAATATGTTTGCTATAATATTGTACGCTTGCAATTGACTCTTTCACCATATGTGTCGGCACGTAAGCTATGCTAACACGCGCCATCTGTATCCACAACTATAAACATGTAATAAAAACTACAGTATATGAGATACAGCAAATCAATAACGGACTTCCATCCAAACAATCAAAATATACACTACACTTTTCCCATGCGACTCACATTTGTAAACTTAAAAAAATAAAACATTTCTAAGATCAAGCCTTTCTGTCTTCACACATACATACACACACGTTTCTTGATCTTCATGCATCTCGTTTAGACGGCTAAAGTCTACTGATAGATACGCAGACTGATATTTTTAACCAAAACAAAAAACAAAAAAGACAAGCAGGTTGAGACAGATCCGACAAAAATCCCATTTCACTAAAGTAGAAACACTTCTTTAATTAGAGAGAGAGAGAGAAACAAAAGTAATAGTTTCTTGTAGCACAAGGGAAATTAGGGTTTTAAGTTGTTTTTAGTAACTATGGCTTGTAATGTAGCAGCTAATGATGATAATGCGTCTTCCTTTTACTCCGCGGAGCGCAACACAATCACCTCTGTTTCCGATTCAAGTTCAAGGCAACTTCTGAAAACCGTTAGTGACGTCAAGAAACTAGCCATTGGAGACAAGACTCTAGCTCACGAATCCTTGGACGATGAAGATGATCTCATGCGTACTGTTCCGTTCGTTCTCTCTTTCGACAATCTCACTTACAGTGTCTCTCTTCGCCGGAAACTAGAGTTCCGTAATCTCATTCCATGGCGCAAAAGCGAGGATCCCGAGATTGCTCAAAACGAAAAGCCGAATACGAAAACCCTTCTCGATAACATCTCCGGCAAGACTCGAGATGGAGAGATCTTGGCTGTTCTCGGAGCTAGCGGCTCCGGGAAATCAACTCTGATCGACGCATTGGCGAATCGTATTGATAAAGGAAGCTTGAAAGGAACGGTGACGCTAAACGGAGAAACACTTCAGTCTCGGATGCTCAAAGTTATATCGGCTTATGTGATGCAAGACGATCTTCTCTTTCCTATGCTCACCGTCGAAGAAACACTCATGTTCGCTGCTGAGTTTCGCCTCCCGAGGAGTTTACCTAAATCTAAGAAGAAGCTTCGTGTTCAAGCTTTGATTGATCAATTGGGGATCAGGAACGCCGCTACAACGATTATCGGAGACGAAGGTCACCGTGGAATCTCCGGTGGCGAGAGAAGACGTGTTTCAATCGGAATCGATATAATCCACGACCCGATTCTCCTCTTCCTCGATGAACCTACGTCTGGTTTGGACTCGACGAGTGCGTTCATGGTCGTTAAAGTGTTGAAGAGCATCGCGCAGAGTGGCAGTATCGTAATTATGTCGATTCACCAGCCGAGTCACAGAGTTCTCGGTTTGCTTGACCGGTTAATCTTCTTGTCTCGCGGCCACACCGTCTACAGCGGATCTCCGGCGAGTCTTCCGCGTTTCTTCGCCGATTTCGGCAATCCGATTCCGGAGAAAGAGAACACATCGGAATTTTCGCTCGATCTCATCCGTGAGCTTGAAGAATCCGCCGGAGGAACAAGAGGATTAGTCGAATTCAACAGAAAATGGCAGGAGATTACTCCTCCTGCATCACCGTACCCAAATCTAACCCTGAGAGAAGCAATCGCCGCCAGTATAAGCAGAGGAAAGCTAGTCACCGGCGGAGAATCCGCCACTATCCCACAAGGCGGAGGAAACACATTGATGGCCATATCCGTCCCAGCATACGCAAACCCAATCTGGATCGAAATCAAAACGCTCTCAAAACGCTCAATCCTCAATTCTATCAGACAACCAGAGATTTTCGGAATCCGATTCGCCGCCGTGGTTATCACCGGATTCATCTTAGCCACAGTCTTCTGGCGATTAGACATTTCCTCAAAAGGAGTCCAAGAGCGGCTAGGGTTCTTCGCCTTCGCGATGTCAACAATATTTTACACTTGCGCCGATTCAATTCCAATATTCATCCAGGAACGTTACATATTCATGAGAGAAACAGCTTACAACGCTTACCGGAGATCCTCCTACGTTCTCTCTCACGCCATCGTCTCTTTCCCGTCGCTCATCTTCCTCTCCTTCGTCTTTGCGGCGATCACGTTTTGGGGCGTGGGCTTAGATGGAGGCCCAATGGGCTTTTTGTTCTACTGTTTGATCATATTCGCCTCATTTTGGTCAGGAAGCTCTTTCGTCACGTTTCTAACCGGAGTTGTCCCACATGTGATGTTGGGATACATAATCGTCGTCGCCATTTTAGCTTATTTCTTGCTCTTCAGTGGATTGTTCATCAACGCTAACAGAATCCCAGATTACTGGATTTGGTTTCACTACATGTCTTTGGTGAAATACCCCTACGAAGCGGTTTTACAGAACGAGTTCTCTGATACGACCAAGTGTTTCGTGAGAGGAGTTCAGGTTTTCGACAACACTCCGTTCAGAGAATTACCAGAAGGGTTGAAGCTGACGCTGCTCGATACGGTTAGCCGGTCACTCGGGACGAGGATATCGAGCTCGACGTGTTTGACCACTGGTGCGGATATTCTGATGCAGCAAGGTGTGGCTCAGGTGAGCAAATGGACTTGCTTGCTTATCACGGTAGGGTGTGGGTTCTTTTTTAGGGTTTTGTTTTACCTCTGTTTGTTGCTTGGAAGCAAGAACAAGAGGAGGTGAAAAGAGTATCCAGGGGGAAAACTAATGCTAAAATACCCAAATCAAAACATTCTTTTAGTTTGTATATGTAATTCCCTTCTTTTTTAACGATCCTGCTTAAGGATTATGAATCACGAATCGTTTAAATGTAAAATGCTTTTATCATATATACAATAGATGTATTGTACAAGGCTTGATTATTATAAATGAAATAAAACTTTGATGAAAACAATAAAATATAAATTTACCAGCCTGATCAGACTCAAGGTAAAAGTATTAAAAAAGAAAAATTCCCGTAGAATATATATTATTTTTCTGTATTTTTTCTTCTTTATAAGACCGGGTCAATTCTACAATGAAAATGAACCTTGCATAAAGAAATTGACTAGAAAACCTACTGTCCTCGCTTGATTTAGGCATGGTATAGTAACAAATTATAGTAGAATAACGCAGAAACATCTTCAATATAGCATTTCGCATTTCGTGTTATTAACATTAGATCAAGTACCAAAAGATAAATGGACCAAGTAAGCATGGCATACCACTCATTAGAGCATGGTACACCACTCACTAGTTTCCAGTTGCAATATGTGATTCTTATAATACTGTTATGCTGGCAATTGCCTATTACCATATGTGTGCGCACGTAGGTAATTCTAACACTTGCCATGCGTGTCCACATTTGTAAATAAATAATTGATATGACAGACAATAAACATTGAAACAGTCAAAATATTTATAAACATAAGACACACACACACAGACCTTAAATGAAAAAAACATTTCTCACATCAAGCCTTCCTGTCTCACACTGACACACACACACGTCTCTTCAAGCAATCTTTGCTTCTACAGAAATATTGATATCTTTTTAACAAACAAAATTATAAAAGATACGCAGAATTAGAAAATCTCATTTAACTAAAGAACAAACAATTCTTTAGTCACCGAGAGACAGCAAGCATTGTCTTTAAAACAGTTTCTTGTAGCTCAAGGGATAATTACTCTGAAACAGTTTCAAGTACATGTGTTAAGTTTACTACTCAGAGTCTGTGTTAAGGTCGTTAATCTGTTATTCTGAAAAGGTTTTAAGTTTTTTTTTTTAAGTAACCATGGCTGGTAATGTAGCAGCTAATGATGATGATGCGCCTTCGTTTTACTCCACGGAGCGCAACACAAACTCCTCTGTTTCCGATTCAAGCTCAAGGCAACTTCTGAAGACCGTTAGTGACGTCAGGAAACTAGCCATTGGAGACGAGATTCCAGCTCACGAATCCTTGAGCCGGGACGACAAAGATGATCTCATGCGTCCTGTTCCTTTCGTTCTCTCTTTCGACAACCTCAGTTACAGTGTCTCTGTTCCCCGGAAACTAGAGTTTCGTAATCTCTTTCCACGGCGCAAAAGCGATGATCCCGAGAAAGCTCAGAACGAAAAGCCGAATACGAAAACCCTACTCGATAACATCTCCGGCAAGACTCGAGATGGAGAGATCTTGGCTGTTCTCGGAGCTAGCGGCTCCGGGAAATCAACTCTCATCGATGCATTGGCGAATCGGATTGATAAAGGAAGCTTGAAAGGAACGGTGAAGCTAAACGGAGAAGCTCTTCAATCTCGGATGCTCAAAGTTATATCGGCTTACGTGATGCAAGATGATCTTCTCTTTCCTATGCTCACCGTCGAAGAAACTCTAATGTTCGCTGCTGACTTTCGTCTCCCGAGGAGTTTACCTAAATCTAAGAAGAAGCTTCGTGTGCAAGCTTTGATTGATCAACTAGGGATCAGGAACGCCGCTACAACGATTATCGGAGACGAAGCTCACCGTGGAATCTCCGGTGGAGAAAGACGGCGTGTCTCGATCGGAATCGATATAATCCACGACCCGATTCTCCTCTTCCTCGATGAACCTACGTCTGGTTTGGACTCGACGAGTGCGTTCATGGTGGTTAAAGTGTTGAAGAGCATTGCGCAGAGTGGCAGTATCGTGATTATGTCGATTCACCAGCCGAGTCACAGAGTCCTCGGTTTGCTAGACCGGTTAATCTTCTTGTCTCGCGGCCACACCGTCTACAGCGGATCTCCGGCGAGCCTTCCGCGTTTCTTCGCCGAGTTCGGCAATCCGATTCCGGAGAACGAGAACAAGACGGAATTTTCTCTCGATCTCATCCGTGAGCTTGAAGGATCCGACAGAGGAACACGAAGATTAGTCGAGTTCAACAGAAAATGGCAAGACATGACTTCTCCTGCATCAACCTACCCAAACCTAACCCTAAAAGAAGCCATCGCCGCAAGTATAAGCAGGGGAAAGCTAGTCTCCGGCGGAGAATCCGCCGCAATCCCACACAACGGAGGAGCCACCACCGCGACAACCCTGGCCGTCCCTGCATTCGCAAACCCAATCTGGATCGAAATCATAACACTCTCAAAACGCTCAATGCTCAACTCTAGCAGAAAACCAGAGCTCTTCGGAACCCGACTCGCCTCCGTGGTTATCACCGGATCCATTCTAGCCACCGTGTTCTGGCGATTAGACAACTCCCCAAAGGGAATTCAAGAGCGGATAGGGTTCATCGCCTTCGCGACGGCATCAATGTTATACACTTGCGCCGGAGAACTTCCAGTTTTCCTCCAGGATCGTTTCATCTTCATGAGAGAAACAGCTTACAACACTTACCGGAGATCATCCTACGTTCTCTCTCACGCCATCGTCTCTTTCCCGTCGCTCATCTTCCTCTCCGTCGTCTTCACCGCGATCACGTTTTGGTCCGTGGGCTTAGACGGAGGCCCAATGGGGCTTTTGTTCTACTATCTGGTCATATTGGCCTCAATGTGGTGTGGAAGCTCTTTCATCACGTTTCTATCAGGAATGGTTCCACATCTGATTCTCGGGTACACGATCGCAGTCGCACTTTTAGCTTATTTCTTGCTCTTCAGTGGATTCTTCATCAACAGAAACCGAATCCCAGATCAGTGGATTTGGTTTCATTACATTTCTCTGTTGAAATATCCGTACGAAGCGGTTTTGCAGAGCGAGTTCTCTGATGCGACCAAGTGTTTCGTGAGAGGCATTCAGATTTTCGACAACACGGCCTTAAGGGAACTGTCGGAAGAGATGAAGGTGAGGATGCTCGATATGGTGAGCGAGTCGCCCGGGACGACGATATCGAGCTCGGCGTGTTTGACCATTGGTGCGGATATTCTGAAGCAGCAAGGAGTGACTCAGCTCAGCAAATGGACTTGCTTGCTTATCACGGTAGCTTCTGGGTTCTTTTTTAGGGTTTTGTTTTACTTCTCTTTGTTGTTTGGAAGCAAGAACAAGAGGAGTTGAAACGGGAAAAAAAAAAATGCATGATGACCCAAAACAAAAACAGAACATGTATTTTTTGAAGTATTTTTTTTGTTGTTGTTGTGCAAATAAAATGCTTTTTCACATTAAGAAGAACAAAAATTAACGTTTGCTGAATTCACTTCTCTCAAGTATCTCAATGCCCTTAGAGAACAAGCAATTTTCTATATTCATCAAAAAGAAGAGCCAATTACAAACACAATCTTTCAAACGTTCCTCCACGTATCTTATTGTATAAAGTTCCTTCTCCATTTAATAATGTTAATTTATCTATTGTATCTATGCTAATCGGCAAAATTTATCTATTTTATTATATAAAAGAGACTATATATAACTTTTGTGTCACGTGAATTTTTTTCTTCGTCATATGATTTTATCGGGTTTTAATAATAAAACAAATGAATTGGGCGGGAAAACATTAATTTTGTTCATAATGTACGCGTAAAAAAATCATTAACATCTAGATTTCGATCTCCATGAGCAACTGCATCTTCAGGTTCAGGCATGAAGAGACTCGTTGTCGACGCCTGCGAGGAATAACACAAGTTCAGTTCTCAACCATGTCTTGAGAAACAAGGAAGACAACATTTATCTGGCTTTGAACCAAAAGTAAATTCCATGTCCTCATGCGAATTTAAAAAGAAGACTTACCTTGGTATCAAGAAGCATATCTCCGTTACTGTCAGCTATGAGGCTAGCACCGTGGGATTTTAGCCATTCAGAACACTCCTCCATAGCATCAGTCTCCGTTTCACCAGTAAACCCCAACACTTGGGCTACGTATGAAACCGGCATTGTAGGACGACAACTCCGAGATATAATAGTCACTGCCTTGTAACGCATCTTCTCCACATAGAGATCTGCAGACAAAACATGAAAAACAATTTCATTCTATCCCTTTTTTTTATTCTTTACGTATCTATTCAAATGTTGAAACATATCAAAAAGAGTTTTCATATGTGAAATGTCCCGCACCCATGAGGCAACTATTCATGTTTGGTGCAGTCTTGTAGAGTCTGAAGAACGCAACATAGTTTCCTGATGTAACAGCTCCACGAACTGAGAGAGCATGTCTAACTGCTTCATCCTTCTTATCCTCTTTTGTCAATCTACAGAACAAAGAAATTACTTCACAAATTAACTCAATCTCATGCATAGATATTACTTCACACTGGGAGGAAGAGATGTAAAAGAAACATAATAACTATCAGACAGGCGGAGTGAACATTCATGACTGCAATAGTATTCCCAAATTGGTCACTCACAGAATTTGTTTAGCAAACGTTATTCTGATTTTCCCACGAACCTTTTAGCTTAAGCAGAGACCAGAGAAGGAAATTCAGAAGCACTAACCTGGACATAGATAACAGCAATTCTCGGTTGTTGTTAGAGTGTAGGGTAATATAGAGCAGATTGTACGCAGCAAACTCCCGAGAGCATCCTTCTATACCATCCGCATAAAGGGTTTTTAACTGTGCCAGGCACTGCAACAAAAATAAAAAACCAATTCAGCAAGACTACACATGCCCTGAGCTTTATATTAAGTATCCTCAGGAATACATAATAGATGTATTCTACAAGACTTGATGAAACAACATTAGTATATTGCAGAATCAATGCAAAGCGAAGCCACATTCCATAGTAATATGTCCTCAGAACTATAAATTCTTTTTTTTTGCGGCTTTCTCTCTGATTCAACTCTAACCATTATATCTATAGCATCTTCCCAGCTACGGCAATCAGAGTTGTTACTCAAGTATTACTGTATTGATTTTAGAACCTAAAGGCAAAACTCAACTGGTATATTTCCACTTGCCAAACAGTGAAATGATTGCAACTATTCTACCACTATGTCTCATTTTAGCAGTGGTTAGTACTATTTGGATTAGGAAAAAGGGACAAAACTGTTTCAAAAACGAATTAGATCTAGACAATTTGGATGATTACTATTCCGCAATATGGATACTTTGTGCTAGTGTACCAACCTGATTATACTCAGCTAAATCGCCAGCCTCCAAAGCCAATCTAGCATGTGTTTCATAAACCTGAAATAGACAGTCAACATGGAACCATCATAAACAAGCTCGTTGCGCGGCATCTACTGTAACTAAGATTAACCTTCCACTAGGAAAGGGATCCCACATGCAGTAACCCAGCATTGTAACTCAATTATGTACCTTAGCTGTTAAATGATTGTAGATCCGTTGTACTGTGAGGTCCTGTCGAATAGACTTTAGCTGATCACATTTATAGAGATAATTCTTTTGAGAATGCTGAACCATTAACAATGCTTTTTCAAGCACATCCTCTGGCCTTACCTGCAAAACGTGTTTACTAAAAAGTCAATCAAAAACATCACTCAGGATGTCGAAAAGATTACTATGTATAAGATAGTGATATTTACGGTGGAAGGATCCGGTGCAGAAGTAAGACGGAGATAACGTTTCTCAATTTCTTGGCAAGTTCCTTTAACCGTTAGTGCATCCCAGTCAATGTCTTCCACAGCTCTGCTGCCACCTTCATCAAAATCTCTGCTAAGCCTCAATGCAGTGGCTCTTCTAGACTCCAATCCAACATTTGCATTCTTAGGTTTAGGAATATCATTCCCTCGGCTGTGCCCTTGAACTTTCTCAAACCGCTTGGAACGACTATCACGCCGCTTCTTTTCCTCGGCAGAACTAGCAAGTGTCATTGCGCTGGAATAGTAAGGTGTCAAATCCTTGTCACTATCACTAGATGCCTCATCATCAATGGCAGTAGCTGCACCACCAGAAAAACGCTGTCGCTTGACAGGCCGCTGGAAAGTTTTTTTTGCAGAATTTTGCCCAGAGTAAGTGGGCTTGAAGCCAGTGACACCATCCAACTTTTGAAAACTCTCAGAGCTCTGCAAAAAAAATTAATCAGAACAAGTCGATTGCAAGACGAGAATTTATAACAGCTAAACACACACCAACAGCTAAAATGCTTTCTTTTCATTTCGTTTGACTAGACATAAATAAATGTATGATTAATATCACCAGCAGCAGCATTCCTACAAATAATAAGAAAAGAATGTTAACCTTTTTGTTATTTTCATTTTGGTGTTTCCAACTTCCAAACTTAACACCACTGCTGAAAGTGGAAGCTGACTTGACAAATGGTTTCGCTTCCAGTAACGGCTCCCATCTACTTTTGGGTCGTCTTGTTGGGCTCTTATTTTGTAACGAAGAAATTAGAGTGGAGCTCGATCTGCAGCGCAGCATATAAGACTTAGTAGCAAATCATATGAAGTAATTGTTCCAAACATATAAAAAGGAAGAACGAAAGTTATAGATCGTGCAGGCTGGACATAAGGAAAACAGAACCATACTCAGCGTTTGTCATGTCTGTGTTCAGGACAGTTGAGAGAGGCTCAGTATCCCAATCCCGAGTATAAAGAGTTTTATCATTCGTAGCTTTTGTTATGATCTAAAAAATACAGAGATAAGCATCAGCATGCAAAGCAACCCAAAAATAACATAGTATTCTAATAACTGAAAATTGATTTCTTCTTGTTCCCAGATAGGCATGGTATCTTTAATCATGTTACACAACAACTCGGAAGATCAAGTTCAAGAAGTTCATTCAAATATGGCACTAACATTAAGATGAGCACAATGACTGACTAGAAAGAACGATTTTTCATGCTAAAACAGTGCAACAACTGAGTATCCACAGTTCCTACTAACACTTACCTCCTTTAGGGCAGCCTGGCAATATTCCTTTTCTTTATCACCTTTGCAGCGTGCAAAAGCCCTCTCGACAAACCCACGAAGCGATTTTGGGAAGGTTCCAGGCTACAAGTAGCATTATTTGTTTCCAATGTTAATATGAAAGAGAAAATATACTCAATACCACCAATATACAATGGCCAACATTTAATATCTACTTCACTAGTTAGGTAATCAAGAATTGAAAAAAGGAGCCTTACCTCAGGCATGGCAGTGGTATGGCCTTTCGGCTTTGTCATTGAAACACTAACATATGCAGGTGATTGGGTTGCACCGGCTGATGAACTATCTTTATCCATTTTGGGAAAACCTGATGGCAAGTTTGAAGCAATTCTAGGGTTAGTTGGAATCTGTACATTGCTTACCCTTTGAGTATCCACTGAAGGTGTTATCTGAGTAGGCTGGCGATAGCCTAACGGTGCCTGATGAATGGAAGACTGGGAGTTCGATTCTTGAGGATATGAAGCTCTCTGATGACCCTGAAAAGGGGTCTCATAAAAGGGTTTCGTCTCTAGAGGACTCTGGTAATGACTTTGTGGAGGAGCAGGATAATGAGCTTGCTGATTTGGTGTTTGATGCATCCAGTAAGCATCATTAGAGGCACTAACCGCTGCACCAGGCTGAGAAAAATTATGAAAAATGACTACTAAGTTTCCATTATGAGGTTAATTTCCAATAAGAAAAGACAACCGTGAAAGAAAGCAATCAGTGACCATGTCTAAACTATCTGCACATATAAATTTCTAATAATTAACCCTATCAAGTATGGCTTAGTTGATTTATCAGGAGAACAGCGCATATTTTCTTAATAAGCCACAAGCAGGGCAAAGCAATAGAAACTCAAATAAGCTTTAAGAAAACAAATTTGCTCCACTCCCATATGAAAGTAAAATTTGAACCTGCTGAGGTGGTGGTTGGGATGAGTCTGTTTCCTGCCTCCAAGGTTGGGCATAAGACGGAGCAGGCTGGCCATTTGAAGCAGGCATTTCACTAGTAACAGTAGGAGCTGGAAAGCTCTGACTAAATGCACCAGCGGTAGACAACTTTTCCGTGCCTGGTGCACAGGGGACTTCTGTTTGACTGTAATAATCTGGCCACTGTTGGTAGTTCTGTTGATACTGTACAGGTGTTGTAGTTGCAATAGTGGTGCTGTGAGTGTTAGCAGCGTCAGGAGTAGTAGTTTGATAAGGGTTTGATGATGTGTAGTCCGTATAGTTTCCCTGGTTTAAAGTGGGAGTCTGATTGCTGTAGTTTGTACTTGGGTAACCTCCACCCGTTTGGTTGTTATAGTTTGTACTTTGGTAACCTCCAGTAGTCTGATAATCAGCAGGATTGTAGTAAGTTCCTGAATAACTTGCAGTCCCAGCATAAGATCCTGGATTCTGAAATGAGGAAATAGGCTGATAAGGAGCACCTGTGTTTTGATACGCCCCTGCAGGCTGAGAATATGACTGGCTAGGTTGCTGTTGATAGCCACTGTAGTAATTGGAATATCCCGTGTTTGAGTAGCTGTGTGGCTCGGAGGTGGTCTGGTATGGAGTATACCCACTGTAATCTTGTGCCACATTCGTAGTCCCAGACGTCGATGAGCTGGTGAAGGATGCTGTATTCGGTATTTCTTGAACATTTCCTGTGGATGGACCTGTAGGCTGTGGGTGGTAATAGTACGAGTTTGAATAGTTCCCATTCTCCACAGCCTGATTTTCAACCCTATGCGCTGTCCATGAGGCACCGTCAGACCCAGTTGAGTATTGATATGAAGGTATCTGCACTTGGCTTCCATCAACACCATATCGATTCTGCGAAAAAATTAAAAAGCAAAACTGAGTACTTATCCGCCATATGGCACTGTGAATCTTCAGTTACCACAAAAACAAATAACAAACAGAGCGATCATCTCAGATCAAGACTATATCTTTAACTTGAGATGCTAAAAAAGCCTCCCACAGTTTCAAGTCAATCTGATAGAACAGAACCTCAAACATAATAATCGTAAAAGCTAATGCAGAAAGTGATCAACAGCTAAGTTCTTGACCAAACTTATTACAAATTTGTGGTAGCACAAGTACTTTCCATATTTGAGCAGTTTTGTCAAAAGAGGATGATGAAAAACCATTAAAACTGCTGAAACATCCATTACAGCAAAGAAGAGAGGATCAATTGGAATTAAAGTACCAAATAATCTGGAACTATCAATCACTACAGCAAACTAAAATCACCAAATCCAATTCACGCAACAACACAAACGCAGATATTAACCGGAGAACCAAAGCACAAAATAATCACTTGTACAAGATTGCATATAGTAAGCACTGATTTTGTGAATTTAAAAGAAGGAAAAACGAAAGAGAGGACACAAGAGATTACCTCAATGGAATTAGGGTCCATTGGAGCTACGGCCTGAATGTTCCCTCCTTGATTCATTCTACCATAAGCCTCCTGCAAAAAGCAACATCACATACGATTTCAACTCGCTTTCGAATCGGATTTCGGGTAACACAAGCAGAAAACTTAAGTTCATACGCAATAAAAACCATAGAAAAGCCCTAATATAGAGAATGGAGATAAAGCGGCAAAAAAAAATTTACCGGTGGTGACGCTCCAATTTGTGTCTTCTTCGTTCGGGTATCGCCGGTGAAGAATCGAATTGAAATAGTATATAGTAGAGCAGGATTTGAGATCAAACCAAAACAAAGGTAACAAAGGAAACGAATAGAGCACAACGAAAAAAAAAACAAGAAGGCAAACAAAATATCAATCAAGGGAACAACAAAGAGAGTTGCCAAATCTATCGAAATTACAAACACGGAGAAAATCGAGGAATCTGGCCGAGAAGAAACAATTTGTTGTGCCGGAGACGAAGATTGTCAAATTTGTACGGTATACCAGCGTGGTCGGGTCGGGTCGGGTCGGGTCGGGTCGGGTTTGTAATGTCTTTAAATTGGGATTTTTTATTTATTTATTGAGGTAATAAAACTCTTCATTAACAGAAACGATTAAAACTTAAAAGGACAAAATCCCAAGTAAACCGTAGTTTTGAAGCCTTAAATCTTTTTTTCCTGAGTTTTATGAGTAACAATATTGTTGGACTATTATTGGGCTCGTTATGGACTATTATTCAAAGAAAAAAAGAAGACAAGTTGAATTGGGCTCGTTATGGACTCTTTATCAAAATCAATAATTGCATTTTGTGGATTAGTCCCTCGTGAATCACGAGTTGGTTACAACATACAAACAAGTATAACTAAGTGGATGGTAAACAACGTGACCAAAAAATCAGAAAAAGCAAATGTACGTGCCTGCCAAATAGTTTCAATAAATACACACACATTTTTAACACCCACAACCACAAGAATTCATCTTTTCCAATCTCAATCTCAGGAGCTCAAGAAATTGACTGGTTATCTCTCTCTCTCTCTCTAATTACATTTTTGTTACATTTTTTATACCTAGATATGATTATCCCTTATATATGTGTGTGTGTGTGGCGTTGTGAAGCGATCAATTTTTTAATTAGGAGTCATGCATGATTCCGAATAATCGTAAGAATTTTTTGTTTTGTTTCTGCAAACTAGATCTATATTTACATTAACCTGTTTAACAAACAAACAAAAACATATAACATTAATTAACTACCATTAATCTATCATCTAACAATTTACTGTATATGGAAAAAAATGATATGTTTCGGAGAGTGTGAGTGTGTGAGCTAGAAACTAATTTTAGTGAGAAAGGAGTATGTGGATGCATTTTTAGTTCGATGTGTCCTGTGTGTAAGGTTTATCTTCATTGGTTCATACAGTACACCAATAATAAGATCTATCAACATCACACTGTAAACCCTACCAATCCATTAATTTGCGATTCTTGGACCAGTTTGTTCCTCTTGCTATGTATTTGAAATAGGCTACAATGTTATCAATTATAGTGTATTACGTACCAATCACAGATCCAGCTTATGAAATTTTTATAAGCTTCAAGCCTTGAATGTACTTTATATATGGGATTAATAAATATTTTATTAATTTTTTTTGTTCTCATTTTATTACAGTACTTGAAGATTCGAAATGGCGATGGTGTACCGGAAGCTCGCAATTTACGGTGGTGAAGGAGGGCGTGAATGGGACGACGATGTATACGAGGGAGTAAGAAAAGTGTACGTAGGGCGAGATCTCTCACGTATCACTTACGTCAAATTCGAGTACGTTAAGGAAAACGGCGAAGTGGTAACACGTGAATATGGGAAAATAACTCAACAACCTAAAGAGGTTCTCTATTGCTTTATCCCTCCATTTTTCACATTATTAATTAGCTTTCTACATCAATTGTTTTATTAAGTGAACAGTCCAGGTTATAACAAAATTAAAATCATCAACACTTATTACAAACCACACTAAATTACAATTTTATAAGTTTTGATTTTTCTAAAATGAGAAAAAAAGTGAAAAATAATGGAGATGCGGGGGATCGAACCCCGTGCCTCTCGCATGCAAAGCGAGCGCTCTACCATTTGAGCTACATCCCCTTGTTGATATGCTTTTTATTTAGTGTATTTTAGTCTCTTGATTGAATAAATTGACGACATTTTTTTTCACATACAGTTTGTACTTCAATATCCGCATGAACACATCGTAGCGGTCGAGGGAAGCTACAAATCAGTGGCTCTGTGTGCCACGGAGGTGATCACGTCTCTCGTCTTCAAGACCTCAAAGGGTAGAACATCTCCAGTGTTTGGTCCAAGCATGTTCGGAATTGTGAATGGTACAAAGTTTGTTTTCGAGGACGGGGGAAAGAAGATCGTAGGTTTTCATGGACGGTCGGATAACGCTCTCGACGCTCTTGGAGTTTACTTCGCACTGGACTCTCCGAACACCTCGACCTCTCTTTACAAGCTAGAAGCCCAAGGTGGTACAGAGGGGCGTGTTTGGGACGATGGTTCCTACGACGGCGTTAAAACGCTGCGCATTGGTCAAGATAATTGCCGTATCACTTATTTAGAGTTCGTGTACGAGAAAGGTGGGAAGTCCGAGACACGTAACCATGGGGTGAAAGGACAAACACCATCAGAGGTAATATCCTACTTGTTCTTATAAACGATCTGGTTCAATAATTCTCAAAAAAAGGTTATAGGTCTTGTTAGATATAAACTCTATTTTATATTTGAACTAGTATAACAACAACAAAATTAGTCTTTAAATTATATAGATAATTTTGTTTCTTTTATTCTTGTAGATTAATTCATGTATATAGATTTCTTGCGACGAATAATCTTCTTGAATTTTGCTTCTTGTTGTAGTTTGTGCTTGATTTCCCGGGAGAATACATAAAATCGGTGGAAGCAACATATCATAACCCAATCCTTTTTCGCAATACCGTCATTACGTCGCTTAAGTTCGAAACATCAAAGGGGAGAACATCATTCTTTGGGTATGAGACGGGTAAAAAGTTTGTCCTGGAGCAAAAAGATCGTAGACTTGTCGGATTCCATGGGAAAGAAGGTGACGCTATTGATGCTCTTGGAGCATATTTTGCACCTATTCCTACTCCTGCTCCTGTGATACCAGCCAAGAAACTACCATCGGTAGGCGGCAACGGAGGAGTTGCATGGGATGATGGTGTCTACGACGGTGTAAGGAAGATACAAGTAGGACAAGGCAACGACGGTGTATCTTTTGTCAAGTTTGAGTACATTAAGGGAACAGACTTGGTATCTGGAGATGACCATGGCAAGAAGACAGTACTTGGAGCTGAAGAGGTCAGTTCCATAAACAAACGATGTATATAGTTTTTGTTGTAACTATTTCACTGATTATATACGCTTATCTTTGTTGCTTTTGAGCGTTTTCAGTTTGTGCTTGAGGATGGTGAATATCTCACGGGTTTGGTAGGCTACTACGATAAGATCTATGGAGTGGAGGAACCGGCGATTATCTCTCTTCAGTTCAAGACGAACAAAAGGGAATCAACTCCGTTCGGAATGGATTCCGGTGAGAAGTTCTCGCTTGGGGAGAAAGACCACAAGATCGTCGGGTTCCATGGACAAGCTGGTGATGTTATTCACAGTGTTGGAGTCACTCTTGTGCCTATCACCATCACCGAGTGAAAAAACCTTCTATGATATATATTAATAAAAAGCTATATGAAGACCTTTAATAAGATTGGTGTGTGTTCCCTTTAGGCTGCTACTTTCAGAGTGTTTTTTTTAATGGTCCATGTACTTCATTTAAAGAATAAATCCTTTCGCTAAATGAATGTGAGAATGATCGAGATATGGGATGATATTACCCTCTCTCAAGTTGAGCATGTAAAATTTGTTTATCCAACTTAAACCATACAAAAATGCTTATCGTAGTCGGTAGTCGTCATAGTCTTCATGGTCTCTTCTTGATCACAAGTTTTTTTTTGTTGGATTAATTTTATATTCAATTTTTCAAAAAAAAAGATCTTGAAGAATCAATAAATGAATAAAAAATTGATAGATAATGAACGTGAAATATGGGAAGATATTCCCAATAAAAAGCATATGCAAAAGAAACCAAGGTGGCCATGGCCTAAAAGGCTAAATTTTCAATTCACAAAACGACTTTACAAAGCCAATATATATAATCGAAATGACGTATTCTCCAGTAATTAATACTATAATATAATTTAATTTACAGTAAATAATTATTAGACCATCTCCATTGGTAAACCTCCAATTAGAGTTTTTAACAATTATTTTAATATAAATTCTCTATTATCCTATTTTAAGAACTCAATAAAAAACTTTAGTTTTTCTCTCTACCATTGGTAAAACTCTAATACGGGTTATTAAGAATTAAAAAAAAAACACTCACCTCGTTGAAGTGGTTTTGTTCACTAAAACCAAAATCAATCAAACTGTGGACTTTGGTTGGTAGATCAACCACTCTTGCGGAAGAGAAGAAACAAAGTCTTTCCCTTTGCTCGGTCGAAGAAAGAAACAAAATCATCGTAGGTGAGATGACCAATGCACCATTGAACCCATATGACATTATACCTTCCAGCAGCTGGAGTAAACTCCTATGATTATATAAACATTCACAAATCAAAAAGTGAAGGAGAATCAGATACAGAAATTAGAAGAGATACTTCAAGAACAATACTTGACGAGGTACACAGAAAAAGTAAGTAAGTTTTTTTGTGTGTTTCTGACCTCGCAGAAGCCAAATTTTCATGCGCTTCAGGCTCAAGAAGATCAACCTGGAGCAAAAATAGTTTTCATCAAAATGATGGCATAAAACAGAGAAGAACAGAGCACAAGTTAGTGAATCAAAGAAGAAAAATATTCACCTCGTTGAAGTATCGTATCAGGAGATTCTTGGTGATCTTTCCAACGCCAGATCCACAATCTGCAAATGATTTGTGTGATTTGCAAGAAAACACATCTGTAAAAAGCAATAAACTCTAATGAGAAGAGTGTTACCAAGAGCTACTAGATGCTGATATGACCCTAGCTCCTCTTGTTAGGTCCTTTGGGAGAGCTATGTCAAGCTAGTCATCTATCTGCAAAAAGTTAACATATGTTGGTGTCAAGAACAGAGAGGAAAAGCACAATTACACACTACACCTTCAACCAGAAATACAAAAAGCATAACAGATAAACAATTAAATCAAACTCTTTCTAGAGGAGTGTAAGTCTCTTCGCTAGAGGAGTGAAGTCTCTTCGAATATCCTCTTTCTCCTTGAAAGAGAGCAATGTAAGCGTGTTCAATGCCCATGTCATCTCGCTCTTCAAACCACTCTGTCACGCAAAGACTATTCTTTTGTTGTTGTGGTCTATATAAATTCCAATGATCCCACCAAAAGTTAACCCAATTAGAATCAAATTGCATATAAAAAAAGCATATTTTCACATAAAAAAAAGCATTTCAAGATCACACATTCCAGAATATGGGAAGTGCTAGATCGATTTTAACTTAATTTTTCAAATCAACGAAAGCTAAAATTAACAAAGAAAAAACTCCAATTCACAAAAGCATAAGAAAGTGTATATATTCTGGATTTTATTATTTTCGAGCTTACCGACAAAGGAATTGTAAACTAGAAGAGAAGGACCGAGTAGAGCTGACGAAGACATCGCTTTGACCGCCGCAGCGATGGCTGCTGCAGCTGCAGAATTTGCGCAACAAACGACGATTTAAGCTAACCCATCAACCAAAAATCATGAATCAAGTGAAGAAATCGAGAGTTTGAAGAGTTCTTCTTCTTCTTTCTCCAATCTCATCCACAAACTTCTTTGTTCGTATGATCGATACAGAGAAGAGAGAAATTGCTAATTTTTGTTATTTTGTTAAAATAAGCAAACTCAACCACGGATTGACACGTAAAGGTTTTTTACCGATTCTAAAAATCGTTAATTAAAAGACGTTCCTTCCCATTTTTATACATAAATCAATTGTTTATTATTATTTTTATTTTAACAAATTCTTAAAAAACTCTTTAGAGTTACCGATGGAGTTTAAACTTTAAACTGACGACAAAAAAAAAACTTTAAACTACCCCAACACGTATTGAAGACAATATATCAGAAATGGGACACGTGTTTAAGAAGGACACTGTCTCCCTTCACTCACGGCCGTAGATCCAAGCACCGGCAAACGTGTCCGCCGGAGGTGTTGCAACACCAACCCTCTTCTTAACAAATTAAATAGTTAATGTACATTGAGTAATAAGTATATTGGGCTCGTTATGGACTCTTATCAAAAGCAATTATTTCCATTGTGAAAGTCCTTCGTGACTCGTGAAACACGTGTTGGCTGCAACTCAAGTCAATAAATACACATTTCAACATTCATACGGTTCATCGCCTCCATTCTCAATCAGCAGATCTCAAGAATTTACTGGTTAACTCTCTCCCCTCTCATTTTTTTGTTTGTTCTTGAAGTAGCTATTTACACTTTTACTCTTTTGGTAGCCCACATATCCCCTTATTTAGGAGTCATTCCGAACAGAACTGTGTTTTGTTTCTGCAAACTAGCTAGATCTACATATACGATTTTCTTTTCTAACCATTTACATTAAATACCATTAATCTATCTTAACTACTTTCTAAACATTTACAAGTCATGAATATCGTTGAATACATTAAAAGATCATTTCAACAACAAAAATTTAGAGAAGATAGTAATGATTTGGAGAGTCTAAGCAATTAGTGCAGGATATATAAACCAAACAGTGAGAAGTCTGTGACTGCGTTTTTAGTTCGATGTGTCATGTGTGGGGGACCTTTGTTCGATATTATACTTTAATTTCATCGTTATTGGACCTATTCACATCACACTATATAATACATTATCCTACCAATCACAGATCCAGCTTATTGGCTTGGGGTGTATATTTTTAAAAGAGAAAATGTTCGAAACTTATATCTTAAAATACATATCTTAAGATTTACGTGTATCACCATTCTTTTTTCTCAGCATTTTTTTTTAATTTATGGGTTTGAATTGTATGAAGCTTTTTCACGTTTTGGAAACTTGATTTTTTACCATTCATGTTTCTGCTAGTATGTTAAAAATATAACTAAAAAAACAAAACATGATTAATCTATTAAATGTAGTTTTTCAGCGTTTCACAATTATTCAGCTAAAATATTATTCAGTTCAGTTTATTCCGCTAGTAATTTTTCAGTTATTCCGCTAATTTTTCAGTTATTCCGCTATTCTGTTATTCATCTGACATACCAATGTTTATTTATTTAAAATCAGATTTCTTAAAATGAACATTAACAATGTAATATTTATTTTTATATAAAAATCGTATTTATTATTTTCTAAAACATTAAATAAATATGTGAAAACCAATAATTTATTAATTCAATTACCACATTTATTAGAGTAAAGATTCGAAATGGGGAGGATGTATCAGAAGCAGGCACTTTGCGGTGGTCAAGGAGGGCGTGAATGGGACGACGATGTATACGAGGGAGTAAGAAAAGTGTACGTAGGGCAAGATCTGTCACGTATCACTTACGTCAAATTCGAGTACGTTAAGGAAGACGGCCAAGTAGTAACACGTGAATATGGCACGATAACTCAACATCCTAGAGAGGTTCTTCATTGCATTAACTCTCCATTTTTCACGTTCTTAAGTTTTCTATATCAGTAACTGACATGTTCACATACAGTTTGTACTTGAATATCCGGATGAACACATCGTAGCGGTAGAGGGAAGCTACAACAAAGTGGCTATGTATGCCACGGATGTGATCACGTCACTCGTCTTCAAGACCTCAAAGGGCAGAACGTCTCCAACGTTTGGTCCAAACTTGTTTGGAGTTGTGAATGGTACAAAGTTTGTTTTTGAGGACGAGGGAAAGAAGATCGTAGGCTTTCATGGACGGTCCGATAATGCTATCGACGCTCTTGGAGTTTACTTTGTACTAGACTCTCCGACCACGTCGACCCCTCTTTACAAGCTGGAAGCCCAAGGTGGCACAGAGGGGCGTGTTTGGGACGATGGTTCTTACAACGGCGTTAAAACGCTGCGCATCGGTCAAGATGATTGCCGTATCACTTATTTAGAGTTCGAGTACGAGAAAGGTGGGAAGTCAGAGACATGTCACCATGGTGTGAAAGGAGAAACATTATCTGAGGTATTTTGTACTAGCTAGGTCTTATACACGATTGGCTCAATCATTCTCCAAAAACGTTATAGGCCAGGTTAGATATATAAACTCGATTTACATGTGAAATAGTATAACAAAAAAAATTTAGGTAACAAATAGTTGGTTATCTCTAGTGGTTTTGAGAATCCACATGGTTGCTAATTCCACTCTATTGCGGATTTTCTGTAGTAGTATGAAGTATCTTTGTAAACCTCCAAAACCGTTTCTATTGTTGTAGCTAGATTAATGTATTTGAATTTCTTGGGACGCAATCTTCCTGAATTTTGCTTCTTGTTGCAGTTTGTGCTTGATTTCCCGAATGAATACATCAAATCAGTTGAAGCAACCTATGATAAGCCGAGCTTTTTTCGCAATACCGTCATTACTTCGCTTAAGTTGGAAACATCAAAGTGTAGAACACCAATCTTTGGCTATGAGGTGGGTAAGAAGTTTGTGCTAGAGAAAAATGGTCATAGGCTTATCGGATTCCATGGAAAGGAAGGTGAAGCTATTGATGCTCTTGGAGCATATTTTGCACCTGTTCCTACTCCCACTCCTACTCCTACTCCTTCCATTCCAGTGATAGGAGATCCATGGTCTGATGGTGTCTACGACGGTGTAAAGAAGATACACATAGGAGTATATGAAGAAGGTATATCCTTTCTCAAGTTTGATTACATTAAAGGCAATGGCCTGGTATCTGGTGATGTCCATGGAAAGATGACATCAGTCGGAGCTGGAGAGGTAATTTTCTCAAACAGCAACAAGAGTTGTTTGTTTCAACTACTACTTGATCTCTATATGATTTACACAATTACTATATTTGTTTCAAATGCAGTTTGTGCTGGAGGATGGTGAATACCTCGCGGCCTCTTTGGACGGCTACTATAAACCTATACCGGGCGCGCCATTTGGAAAAATTGCCGCTCTTCGGTTCAAGACGAACAAAAGGGAGTCGCCTCTGTTTGGAAAAGAGTCCGGTGAGAAGTTCTCTCTCACGGAGAAAGACCAAAAGATCACCGGATTCCATGGACGAGCTACCGATGTTATTTACGATCTCATGTTCTCTTGCCGGCACAAGAGCATCGGCTAGTTGAAAACCAGCTTATATAGTCGTATATTGACTGAATAAAACTTTCAATATATATATAAAGAGATTGGTATGTGTTCTCTTTATGAATATAAATAACTGAGAATAAGAGAGATTGGTGTGTGTTCTCTTTATGAATAAAACTTTCAATGTGAGGGATTGGTGTGTATTATTCTTATTTTAATTTGCTATTAGACTAAATAGTGTTGACTAGTAGTCGAATCCTCGACGTATTTGCCAATATTTTTTTTTGTTTGACCTACCGTGTTTGCCAATAAATGATCATCCACTGTAATTATATTTTTATTAAGTAATTTGGTTCTAAAAATCTACGTATCGATTATTATTTTTTTTTTTTTGGTATGCATCTACGTGTATCGATTTTAGAAGTTTTGTTAATTAATTTAATACTAGTAACTAAAAATCTACCAAAAGTAAATGAATTGTTACTATAATGTTTTTTATATGACTTTTCTAGATAAAGGCAGAAAAATCGAACAACGCGCTCCTCTGCATTACCTTGAAGTGACAGGTAATTATAATTTCCGAAATTACCCTTTATTACTACCTAATTACGGAGAAAAGCCGTTTTGTTTTTGTCCTTTCGACAACTCTCTGTTCCAGTTGTGTTTATTACACTGCCGCCTTTACGAGTTACGGCCTTAACGCTTCTCTCCGTTTAGATAAACCCGACGTTAATTAACGCCGTCAGAAAATTTTGCTTTTCCGTTTCGGTTTCTTCCTCGCTTCATTGACTATCACCTTCATCGTTTCGATATCCGATATTGGAGAATCTTTCTGTCCATGGTAAACTTCACAATTCTCCTTCGAAATATTTATCTGTTTGTTTCTTTTGAATTGTTTTGTGATTCATGAACGTTGGCAAGATTTTTTTTTTAATTGACGAGGGTGATTGTTTTGTAATTTCGTCGAACACTTTCTTCTTCTCCGCCGCACGGACTCAGCTTCGATGCTCGAGTTTAACAAAATCTTTGAAGAAAGATTCTATTCGGTCGTTTTTAGGGTTTTGTAGTGAAATGTTTTTAAGGGTATTTTGGTCTTTGACCTAGTTACAACAACTCTATGTTTACGGATCTGTCAGAAGCTCTCTGACAATTTCGTTATTAAAAACTTGTGGCGATCTTGAATCTTGCCTCTTCTATTTTTAACCTTTTTCCTCAGTCAAGCTTAAAAAAAAGATGGTTGAATTATTCTCACTAATCAAGTGTTTAAGTAGGATTCACTTAATTGCGAACACACTCTGTGCTCTGTTTTGTTCTTAATTCGCTTTCTGAGGTAATACAAACTGTTTGTTAATAATAATCTTGGTTTCTGTTTTCATGATTACTGTCTCTAATCCATCTATGTAGCAATCAAATCAGTGTCCCTCTCTATGACCTGTTTTTGTGCCAAATTGCCTTTTTATCTTTTTTGAGCAAACTTTTCTTACTCTTTTGTAATATTTTCCATCTGCTGCTAATTAATTTAATTTTGATTCCAGCTGCAGTGTTGTTAGTATTAGACTTTTCCAGCTTGACACCAATGAAGAAGCTTTTCTTTTTCAAATCTTCATCTGCTAATGGAACTGATAAACAGCAGATCCGCCGGGAGAAAGAATCAGAAACTAGTTCGAAGAATCTCTCTATGAAGGAACAGAGTGGAGAATCTGGTGCTCAGGCTCTTCTTAGACGAAGCCGTTCATTTTCTTCCGCAGCTTTTCTCCTTGAAGCTTCTTCAAATGATCCAATTAGTGCTACTAGAAGCAGTCGACAGCAAAATCATTCATCTCGGTAAACTATTGTTCTACTCTTTTTTTTCTATGGACATAGACTCAATGTTTTTTGGTGACTTTTCTTTATTGTCATTTATGTTACGGTTTCAGTTTCAGATGTTTTACTCCGGAAAGACAATGTAAAAAAGCAGAACATAGTCACGTGTACAAAGTACATGATTCATCTGTGTCAACTTGTTCTAGCCAAGTCTTGGACCGTTACATTGACGGAGAAGAGCACACAGAACGGAGCAAGCAAAAGAGCGGTGGCTCTTCACGTAGCAGCAGCAAAGGAAGGAGGCTTCCACCGCGAGCTCAGAGCCCTTCACCACTCTCGGATACTACTACTGTGAAGGACAAACGAGGATCTAATGGTTATGCAGAAATTGGTTTGAGGGATGTATCGCCTCGTTCACTTGCGAGAAGCGTGATCAAAAGACTCTCTCACACTCACGGGAAGTCAAACGCGTCGAGTTATGACCCCATCAGGGTACAAGACGTCTATGGTGGGAACAACGGTGAAACACTCGACTCAAGCTTGGATGTTTTCGCCAATCTTTCATTGGCTGAACGTAAAGAACCGGTGAATGGAGGATACTACACGGATGATCACGTAGATGCAAGCTCCGAGCTGGAGAAGAAGTATAGAGAAGCTGAGAAGAGAGTGAAGCTGCTTTCTGAAGAGCTTGAGGAGCAGAAGTTTCTTTCGGACTGTGACTTTGATGTATCGTCTTTGGTTGGTGATATTAGACAAATGGAGGAAGAGAGAGTAGGCTTGGCTTTCGAGGTTTTGAGTCTCTTGCGTTCACAGATGGATGAGAGAGCTTCTGCTAGGGAAGAGATCAGACGTGCAAAGACTGATTGGGACTTGCATGTAAAGAGGCTTGAGAAAGAGAAGAGCGAGTTACAGTTTGGATTGGAGAAAGAGTTTGATAGAAGGTCAAGCGAGTGGACTTCGAAGCTCGAGAGTCTCCAGAGCGAGGAGAAGAGGCTGAGGGAGCGTGTGAGAGAGCTCGCCGAGCATAATGTCTCTCTCCAGAGAGAAGTCTCGACTTTTCATGAGAAGGAAACAGAGCGCATCGATATGATCAGACAGTTGGATGAGACTGTTGCGGAGCTGAGCTCAAGAGAAGAGGAAACGCGTGAAGAGAATCGGTACCTTACGCAAAACCTCTCCAAGCTGCAAGACAGTTACAGTGGGACTAGAGAGGATCTTGATTGCGTGAGAAGGAACTTTGAAGAGAAAGACATGGAGTGCAGGGAGCTACACAGATCTGTCACGAAGTTTCTAAGAACGTTCAAAGAACAAGAGAGGACGATTCAGGGGCTTAGAGATGGACTCTCCGAGGAAACTAAGAAGCAACAACCATCGGAGAAACATGAACAGATGGAACACTTGAGATTGACAGGAGTTGAGCTTTCACTTAGAAAGGAGATAGAATCGATGAAGCTCGAAGCTGAGTCTCTCCGTCGTGATAACATATGTCTGATGAGCCGAGTAAAAGGAAACGGAGAAGAAGTTGATGAGATCACGTCGAGCATCAAGCTGGATAATGAGATGAAGATGCGTGTGTGCCTCTTGCAAGACCAAGGGATCTTGATGTTGAACGAGAGCACGCAGCTATGTTACAAGTTTCTCAAGTTCGTCAAGGAGAAGTTATCTCACTTCCCTGAGGCTTACCATCAGGAGACGCATTCAGTGATGAGTAATGGACTGAGTGAGCAGTTTCTGATTGAATCTGAGATGAGAGTTCATGGGATACGGCGTGGAACTGAAAGCCTGAAGAGGAGTTTGCAGACAGTCACCAGTTTGTTGCTTGAGAAATCCAATGAGATTGCATCAAACTCAGAATCATTGCCTAGCGAGCAAAACAACAAATCAGTGGAGGTGAGTTTTTCCAAACACTCTGTTTCATTTTCTTATCCTCCATTGCTTGTTTCATCTGTGCTAAGATGTTTCACCTTTTTTTTGTGATTTAGAAGTTCCTGAGAGCTGAGCTGAGAGCAGAGAGTCTAGTCACGAGCTTGTTAAGAGAGAAACTGTATTCCAAGGAAGAAGAAATCGAGCAGCTGCAAGCAGAAGTAGCAGCAGGAGTACGCGGGAACGAAGTTCTACAATGTGAAATCCAAAACGTCTTAGACAACCTATCAGTAAATACCCACCAATTCAAAGACCTGAAGCTGCAGATGGTGAAGAAGGAGGAGAAAGTGAACCGGCTTGAAACCAATCTGCAACAAGCTGCTAAAGAATTGGGTAGCATGAAAGTTGCGTTACCAAAAGTGTTGGAGGAAAGTGAAGAGATGTGGAAGGAAGTGAAGGAAAGCAGAAAGAGAAACATGGATTTGGAGTTAGAGAAGGAGATGTTGAAGAACAAGGTAGAGAAACTGGAAGAGGACACACTCATTAAAGAAGGTCAGATCACGATTCTTAAAGACTCGCTTGGAAGCAAGCATTTCGATCTTCTCTCAAGTCCTGACTTCTCATATAACGATTTCTTAGTCCAATAATAGACAACAGGATAATTGTATAGTCGTCTGTTTTTTTTTTCTTGCTCTTGTTTCTTCAATGATGTATGAATCATTGCAATTGCAATGCATAAAAAAAATGCATTCCCTTTCCTTTGTAGAGATGTATGCACTGATATACAATTTGTGAATTTGTATTTCATCTAAAAAACTTTTTGGAACCAGTACCAAACACAATCTACAATACACCCATTATTAGGCTCTAAACTCAACCAAAACTAGTCTACACTTTATGTTGTGTTGGGAAAGAGCAAAGCAAAACCTTCTACATATATATTCTCAAAACCACAAGCGCTTCTTTCCACCTGCTGTTCAAGCATTTCCAATGACATTACTGCTCAAAGTGCTGCATCATTCAAGTTTTGTGCTCTTGTACAGGCGATGACAGAGACCTTCTCAGGTCGAAGAAGAACAAATCCGATAGATGGATTACTACTTTAGTAGCACTTTCCATATCTTCCTCATATAAACGACTAAAGACCAAACCGATAGTCCTGCTGATACATAAAGCAAGCCAGCACCCGAAGCTACGAGCCATCCAACATTGCTATCTCGGCTTGCAAGAAGTATGGTTAGTGCTGTCATCTGCGTTGCGGTTTTCCACTTTCCCAAGTTATTTACCGCAACGGCCTGCACGCATCATTCAATGCCACATCTCATGATTCAGTACGAACAGAAACTCAAAAAAGAAGGCTCTTACATACTGCAATATCAGAGACAGACGTTGGTGATTTAACTTACCTCTGAAAGCTTTCCATTTTGAGATGCAGCCCATTCTCTTACTGCTGACATAGTAATCTACGTTGTAGACAAATGTATTTTTATAGTTAAGGACACTGTTACTTATTCTGCGAGTGAAGGATATTAAGGAATACAATCAACTTTCTACATATACTTACCTCCCTACCAATGATTGCTATAGAAGGTACCGTCAATAACCATGGAACTGGTCCTAATACAGAAACGTCGATAGGTTTTGTACACAGTAAGATCAATGTAGCTGCAACCATAAGCTGGAACACCCAAGATACAAAATCAGATATATTCACATAGATCTCTTTTCCACTGTAATGAAGCTTGGTATCAAAAATCAAAAGGAAGACAAGCCTGCACACCTTATCTGCAACTGGATCCAAAAATGCACCAAACGCAGAACCTAACCTCATCTGTCAATGTACATCATCTCCTGACCGTTAAACATATATAGAAGAACGAAATATACACAGAACGGTAAAAAAGAAAGTACCTTGCGCGCAATATAGCCGTCGAGCCAGTCTGTAATGGCTGCTGCAACGAAAATGCTTGTTGTAGCAGTTGTTCCCCACCAACTATCAACGTAAAAGGCTACAAGCAAAAACAAGAGAATGATCAATTTCAAAAGGAATCCAATCCAAAAACAAAAACTTTCCAACAAATTAGAAACCAGACGATGGAGAGTCTATCTATCTCCATGAGTCAAAGAACAAGCCAAATCTGTGCCTAATGTTGTTTTTAAGCAACTGAGCTCTCGAAATGGTTCTACAGTACAGACCCAGAAAGGATCGTAGAATCTTAATGACACATTCGAAATCCAAAACAATCGCTTAGCAACAAATTGAACGTACTTGCGACGAGAAGAGGAACTGCAGCCACACGACCAAGGGTTAATACGGTGGGCAATGTAAGAACTTTGGAAGACGATTGCGGCGGCGGAGAATTGTCGTCGCCATCAAGCTGAATATGACCACCGAAACTGTTCCGATCCGCCGTGACGGCGTCGTCTTGACCCATACCCGACACGAGGCCCGGTCGGGGAGACGACGATGGTCCGCCTTTCTCCGAAGGAGAGGAAGAGGAGGAAGTAGAAAAGCAGGAAAGGCGGGGGTGACATCTCTGAATCCGAAACCCTAGAGCTCTATGGGAGGAGTAACGGGAAGTGATAATGCAGCGTGAGGAACGGCTAAGATGCGCCGGGAAAGAAAAGGGCGCGCACGGACGTAGCGTGCGCCGCAAATTGACATCGACAATTAACGAAGCAAGACCGGATCTGAGCATGGGAAAGCTTTGATTGAATTCACTCTGTTTCTAGAGAGATTGATTGGTGAAAACTGAAAATGTTAAATTGGAGATGAATCGATGATGATGGAGCGAGTAAGTTTCGGGTACCTGAAACTCGAAGAAACAGGGACGACGGTGACGTGGACTCAAAAGGGTAAAATTGACTATTCAGTTGAATAACTAAGCAAATGGACTTTTTAGGTCAATTATTAAGCCCAACAAAAACATGAAACAGTGGTGAATATATTTCTTAATTTATTTGATCCAGAATTTTCTTGGGTTACATATTTTAACAACGTTATTTTCAAAAAAAGTTGAAGTAATTTGTGTAGGTGTTTTTATAGAAGTTACGTTTATATTAATCCTCTAATTAGACGTTAATCATCTTTTTAACGGTTACTTACCCGTCAAAATCTAATAATCCACTTTTATTTTTCTGTAAAGTGTGTGACTCCTGAACTACTCTCAAATCTAAACATTTCCAGCAACTTTTGTTTGCTTAAGAAACCAGACTACATATATAAAATTTGAGAAATGCATAATAAAATTTGAAATTATATTAAAATATAGGATTCAATAAAGCCACTAAATGTGTAGTTTGTCGAACATTGAACAAAATAACTCGCTGATAATAGTGGAGTAAGCTTTTCTACTTTACATTTAAGGAGTCAAGTAAAATTGTATTTCTCAAAAGGTCAAAAGTTTCGGCTTTTGATAATTTTACCACTTAATAACGTCGTCGACAATCTCGCCCTTTTCGTGTGACTCTCTCTCTCTTTCTCTAGTCTCTTTACTCTTTACACTGTAACTTCATCTTCCTTCAACTTCAGTCGCGTGTAATGATGATCAAGTAAGGTTGCTGCTCCACCAGATCTTCTTCGATCAGCCTCCGTTTCTCAACTCTCACCGCCTTCAGTTGAAGAGATCTCGTCGTCAGACTAAAAGGAATGATGATCGCCGACGCCGCTTCCAAACCTGTGAATCATCTCTTCGCATCTGAACAAAAGAGGTATCTCTTACGAGCTTCTGGGTCGCTACATTGCCCTAGCTCTTTCCGTTTCTGTTTCCGATTCACCACATTTCTGGGTTTTCTCTCTCTCTCTCTCTCTCTCTCTCTTACTTATGAAGCTGCTCTCGATTTTTCTCCTATTACTAATTGATTTTTGTTTCCGACTATATCTTCAACTCCGTTCGTTAGTTTCTAAATCAGTGCTGGATATTTCTAAGAGCTGTAAAATTGATAGCTTTGAATGATCATTTCTGGTTTACGAGTTTTGGCTCTTTATTAATCCTTAGAGAGAAAGTCACGAAACTGATTATTAAACTGAAAACATTTTGTCATTCAGATGGCTTGTTAAAGATGCAATTTTGTTTCAATTGATTCAAATAATGAAATTGGATATTCTCAGTACTGAAGAAGCTAATATGATTTGTTTTATTAACAGGGATGCTTATGGATTCTCTGTGAGGCCTCACCATGTACAAAGATACCGAGAATATGTTAAGATCTACAAGGTTTTTTTTTTTATCTCCAGAAATTTTTATTTTGATATTATTCTTTCAATGTTATAGAAGCTTTGTCTCATTTTGGTGATCAAAAGTGGACTAAACTTAGCATTTCACGCCTTAGTGGCCCTGATCAAATGCTTGAGATATCTAAAAGCTCAAGGTGATCAAATGCAGGAGGAAGAAGAGGAGAGGTCGGACAGGTGGAACAGTTTCCTGGACGGTCATGCGGAATCTGGCATGTCACCTGTGAATGGATCATCTGAAAACTGTCATGTACATCCAACTGAAAGTGATAGCCAAAAAGAAGAGGGATTGAACAATTATGATTTAGCTCCAAGGGATGTGGGAAAGGAAGACGAACATCCCAATGCAGAGATGAATGTGAAACGAGTTCAGTTATGGACTGAGATCAGGCCATCTCTTCGACCAATTGAGGACTTGATGAGTGTCCGTGTCAAAAACAAGGGAGGTTCTTCAGATGGCGAGCAAGAAGCTCAGAATTTGAAACCTTCACCTTCAATTGATGAGGTTAATTCTTCAAAAGGAGTATATGATAATGATTCTGAAGACGAGTTCTATGATGTGGAGAGATCGGATCTAGTTCAGGATGGTTCCTTTTCAGATGTTGCAAATGTCTCCAGCATGCCTGTTAACGCTGATGCAACTCCCCCGGTATCTGCATGCCCCTGGAAAGAAGAACTTGAAGTACTTGTTCGTGGCGGTGCACCTATGGCTCTGAGGGGTGAGGTAATAAACCTTGTCATTTGTTCTTGTCTATATTTTGTTGATCACTCTCCAGCTCTTGATATTTAGTTCCCATTCTCCTTATTTCCTGCTCAATAATAATCTCAAAGTTAGTGTATACAAATTATTCAGCTCTGGCAAGCATTTGCGGGAGTTAAGAAACGCCGGGTCGAGAATTATTACCAAAACCTGCTAGCTGCTGATAGTCTAGGAAACGACATGGAGCAGGAGCACATGCAGCATGCAGATGAGAAAGGTTCAAGTACAGACCCCCTTGCTGTTGTGGAAAAATGGAAAGGACAGATCGAAAAGGTTAGCATCTGTATTATCCTCCAACACTTGGTGTCGAGCATCTCTAACTAGTGAACCAGTGCTGGAGTCGTGTTGATCTTAGCCCCTTTTCTCAAGTCGTTGCTTTTGATTGTTTCAAGTACAGGACTTACCACGGACATTTCCAGGTCATCCTGCCCTAGATGATGATGGCAGAAATGCTTTGCGGCGATTGCTAACTGCCTATGCTAGGCATAATCCCTCTGTTGGATACTGTCAGGTATTTGGTTCTTATAAATTGTCACTCCTGAATTCTAGTTTCGTGACATGCTCAAAAAATGAACGTCTCCAGTTTATTTATTACATACGTTGTATCAAAAAATCATGTGCAGGCCATGAATTTCTTCGCCGCTCTATTATTACTTCTAATGCCCGAGGAAAATGCTTTTTGGTATGTTCGGAAACCACTCCACAACTCGTAATATTGTTTGTCTTCTGAGTGAAGTTTGTGTATCTATGACTTTGTTTTCTTCTGGTTGAATATTAACTACTGTTAGCTTATTCCTCAAATCTTTTTTTTACGTCTGATTTTCAGGTCGCTGATAGGAATCATTGATGACTACTTCAATGATTATTATTCAGAAGAGATGATCGAATCCCAGGTAAAAGTGTTAGTTAATTGTTTTTGCACAATGTTATCCTATATTTTAGGGTCGAGTAGTCAAATTTGCTTCTTCATTTACAAAAGAATCTCGTAGTTTTCATTGTTCCTGTATTTGGATTCTTATCTTAGGTTGACCAACGAGTTCTGGAGGAGTTGGTTCGAGAGAGATTTCCTAAATTGGGTAAGTTTCTTCATAGTCTTGTTACATCTTACCAAATCTTTGCAGTTGGCGCTAATGCTCTTTGTGATTGTGATGTGTATACTTTTTCAGTTCATCATCTAGATTATCTTGGAGTACAGGTGGCTTGGGTTACAGGGCCATGGTTTCTCTCCATCTTCATCAATATGCTTCCATGGGAAAGTGGTCAGGTTTTAAACTTAATCTTCCCAATAGGGAAACTGCTTATATTTTCATACGTTTCGTTGCTGTGAAAAAAGTTGCCATCTTCAAATATTCTGACTGTCAGTCTAAACGACATTCTTTGTTACAACAGTTCTCAGAGTATGGGATGTGCTTCTATTTGAAGGAAATCGTGTCATGCTTTTCAGAACAGCACTTGCATTGATGGAATTTTATGGTACTCGGTTGAACCTAAGTGTTCATATTATATGACATATGTGATAAGTCTTATGGATATTCTGAAAATACCAGTCTAAGTTTCGTATGCTTGCCATATATCAGGTCCTGCACTAATTACAACCAAGGACACTGGAGATGCTGTTACTTTGCTACAATCAATGACCGGCTCAACATTTGATAGCAGCCAGCTCGTTTTCACTGCTTGTATGGGTTACCAAGATGTACATGAAAGTAGATTGCAGGAATTAAGAAACAAGCACAGGCCAGCTGTGATAGCTGCATTTGAGGAAAGACTAAAGGGGCTTCAAGCTTTTAGGGATTCAAAAGGCCTTGTGACCAAATTATATAACTCTAAGCAAGACCCAAAATCCGTTTTAGCCAATTCTAGCAAAGCCTCATTCTCAAATGGGAGTTTGTCTCGTTCTGAGTCAGGATCCAGTTACGCAGACGAAGTCTTTGTTAGTCTGACTGGGGATGGAGAGACAGATTATTTTCAAGATCTTCAAGGACAGGTAATTTGTGTCAGCCTTTAGGAACTTGAAAATGTCAACTTATAATAGTGACATTTGTCCACCTCATAATGTTTTTGTATCAACAATTTCTTCAGGTTCTCCGGTTGAAGGGTGAACGCTGCAATTTGCTTGAGGAGAAAAGATCGGCCTTACAAAGGTTAATCTCGTAGCTTTGTATATGACTTTGAATATTGAAATTATGCGTGAAAATTTATACATCTCCTCAATATTTCTCGATCACTTCCTATGTTATTATAGAGCTGAAGAGTTGGAGGTAGCTCTCATGGAGATGGTCAAACAAGACAATCGGCATCAACTGAATGCTAAGGTATTGGAACTCTGTTTTGTAAATAAGCATATGGTTTTTACATTCAGTTTCTTTATCTGTCCTGTCATGAATAAGGACGATGCTTGAACAATCTATTTGAGATACCCTGACTTGTCCCGTGCATGAATTTTGGATAGATTAAGCAGTTAGAGCAAGGGGTGACAGAGATTCGAAGATTAGTTTCTGATAAGAAGAAGCAAGAGGGTGTTATGATACAGGTTTGCATTTGCAACTTGTTTGCTTCTCAGGAGGGTGTTATGATACAGGTTTGCATTCGCAATTCAATGTATGGAATAGTTCTAAGATGACATGAGAATTATGAAGGACTTGATGCGGATGGAGCAAGAACATAAGGTAACAGAGGATGTACGGAGACTTGCTGAGCAGGAC